CACGTTTCAAAAATCTGCTTGCATGTATTTTTCAGGGTAGATCACAACTTCTCTGGTCACTTTGTAAAAGTATAGGTAGAAACAGCTTAAACTGCTCTCCAGAAAACCCTTACAAGCAAGCAAAAAAAAATCCCCCTTCCCTCCCCTTTGCAAGACCCTAGGATGTTGATGTCATTCCTGAGGGATGTTGCCCTCTATAAAATAGACACAGAAATGCCTCATGCCACTGAACAGAGCTGAGATGGCAGCTGAGCATTTTTATTAATAAAACCCGAAAAGCACAAAACACAGATTAAAAAGTTTGCACTGCTATTGTGAGTCTTCTGTAAAATACATGAACATATCACTGTAGCATTATTTATTGTTGTATCTGTAGTGAGAAATAGTTGTTTCCATTCTCATCAATCTGGCTATGTCCCTTCTGGTCATCTCTTTGAAATTCTGTAGACATACATGTTTGACCTCTCCTATAATGTTGGATGAGATAGGCAATAGGAAGATAGCCTGGTTTCACAAAGGCTAATCATATAAATGGATCAGATAACGACAGCCTGCAGTAAAGGTAAAAGGACGCATTTTGATTCACCTGTGACACAATGGTGAGAGGATTAACCCTCTGTCTCCTTTTGCCTTTTACAGGGAGGAAATTGTGTGCTATTAACCATTTAGGATGGATAACAGCTGGTGTTTTCAGAGCTGTTTTAAATGCAATCCTCTGACCTGTCATTTATTCTAAATGGACAGCTTCTTGGGGGACAGACTGACTGGCGCTTGCCACTTTCAGAAAGAATAAATTGCTTTTTGTCCTTCTAGACTTAAGCGCATGTTTTCTTGGCACTCTTTGCCTATTGGGGCCAAGCTATTAATGAGCAGCAGTGCACCTTTGATGTAGAAATGATGATTTGGATCTCCTGGCCAGGTTGGATGGAATTTTGAATGTTTGAAAGCATATGCTACTTGCTTTTTTTTTTTTTTTTAAATGGACAATGTACACGCTAGTTTTGAGTAGATTATGGAATCAGAGGAATCACAAGAGAGTAGGACAGAAGGAGTTGCTCACTACAGCTACAGGCAAGTCAAATAATCTTTGGCTGAGACACCTGAGAAGGAGACTTGGCTTCTGATTAGGTACTGTTTGCTACTGCATTTCTCCCAGAGCACTGAAGCCAATTTGCTTACTGGAGTTTTTGCCTTATTTGATTTTGAAGATGTGGGGTAGCTATTGTTTGTGTGATACACAGTTCCGAAGAGGTCATTGGGAAGTGGGATGGAATGACCGAGAAGGCTGGAGACATAGAAGAGTGTTCTCCTCTGTACAGACAGGAGTCGTACTCTGGCAGCTTAGTAGTTGAGTTATTGCTAAAGTAGAAATTTCCTTATTCTTTTCCTGGTTTGCTGCCTCTAAATTGTCCTCACACATAAAAATTAAGTAATGTGCAAAAATTGCCTAATGACCAGCTGCCATCTCATCAAAAGTATTATAAATAGTGTTTCCAGGCATTCAGCTTCTAATATTGCTGCATGTTTTTCTTTTTCCTCTCATTGTCTCTTATCATAAGAAACCTTTGAACAAGGGGAAGATACACATCTTTGACACTTTTCACAGTTCAGCTGCTCCTCTACTTTGCTTCCTCCTGCACTTGCATTATCAGAGTTGAAGGGTGATGTCAGGTGGGGACAGCTTGAAAGAAAGAGGGGAAAATACAGGACGAGGGGTGGGGGGGAAAGGCCTTTGCATTGGTCTAAACAATTGCTTCTGTGTATCCTCCGTAGGATCACAGAAATGCTTTACTGGGTAGGAGATGCTGTTTAGGGAGAGCACTTGATCCTCACCACTTTGTGGCCTGTTTTCTTCCTACTTTCTCAGCATCTGCAGTTTTTGGATTAGGAATGTTCACTTTTATTATCTGTTATAGATGTACTGTCTATTAATTTGTCTAATGGCATTACCAAAACTTTTGCCAGCTCAAGTCCTCTTTTTAAAAATTGATCACACCTAAATGACTATATAGTAACAGGACATATGTCATCATGCTCGCTGGCATTAAGTCTGGGATCCAGATATTGCAGTACCTCTACACAGTTGCTTGAACTACTCTGAAGTCAATGGGAATTTGCATAGGGATTAGCAATTCATTGCACAAAAGCAGGGGGGCCTAAGTTTGCTTATTTTCAGGTCAATGCACCTGCTGTGTAAATATCTTCGAAGCATTTAAAAGAAACAGTTTGAACAGCAAAAATATTATTTGTAAACACTTTTTTGCATTTCAAATATCTGTCTGATTTGACAAACTTATCTGAATGCTCTTGAGCGTTCTCATGCATTGAATTTTTATACATAGTTATTTGTGTAACCCTGTAAAAGAAGCCCATTGTTGCACAGAAAAGTGATTTGTGAATGAATAAAATTATTGAATACTCCTGTTTTAAAAGTTTTCCCTAGTGATCAAGTGTTAAGTTGACCAATCAAGTCATGATTAGAGAAAATGGACTAGTTTACATCTTCAGGGCTTACATTTAAAACTTATTAACCCAAACTATTAACCAATTACTTATAAATAGCAATTTCCTTTGCAAACAAGATTCATTTAGAGAGAGGATAAAAGGCCTGAAATTGCCTACTGATTTACTTATAAATTGGTTAAACTGTTTTTTTTTCTAAGAATCTAGTCACACAATTTCTGCTGCTGCCATGTTTTCTTTTGAACATGTTACGGTGAGCTTCAAGATAGCAATGTAGCAATGATGCGGGATGCCAAACCAGCTCTACTTAGCTTTCTCATATTTTGTCAGGATAGGGCTGGGAAGAATGGAGACTAGAAGATCAGCAACTTTTGAGTTGCTGAACCAGGTTGGTCACCTAGCTGTTGCACAGAAAGTGTTACATTGTCAGCTAAGCGAAATCGGCACACTTAACTATTTCTCTTTGAGCTCTATATAGCCACAGTAAACTTGTGGAAAAGGCTTCTTAAAGCCATTTGCTGCCCTTCTTTTGCCTGTGTGTTGCTCTGAATTCTAGTGGCATTAGATCCAGGTGAACTCCCGAACACTTCCATCTTCCTACGCGGGAAGTGGCTGTGTGGAACTCTGCTCACTGGTGCAGCATATTTTGATGTAAGCAGTACCTTTGCTGACCATCCAGAGGCATCATTTCATAAAGTGTGCTCTGGAATAAAATATGCTGTCACTTCCTGATGTAAATCTAGCGTAACTTCCATAGGCTCAGTAGGGTTTTGCTTGTCTAACGTATCAGAACTTAGCTTTCTTGCTGCTTTGTACAGCTGGATTTGCCTTCGTGATACAGTGTAACTTTTGCACGTAGTGGGGAACTGCAGAGAAAGAGGTTTCTCCTGTCATTCTCCTAGGTATTCTCTGTAGTTGCAATGCGTGACTCTTCATGTTCAGACTCTTTCTATCCTTTTAAATTCTAGAACAACCTTTTCATGTCACTGTAGAAAAACAGCTTCTTCCTCTTGCTCTGTGGTAAAATTGGCTAGTAATAGGCTTGATCTGCAAGGGAGTTGAGCATAGTTTCTGTTTGTGTGAACTGCGTGATCTTCCAGTGAGAGTGATGCCATATTCATTCTGCTGTCATCTCCCTCCATAGGATCTCCCTACTGCATGTTTTGTATCGTAGCTAAATGATTATACCAAGGAGACGCATTCTTCTTTGCCTGTGTCATCCCCTCCCTGCTTTCCAGTGGAAGTAGTTAAAGTAATGTTGCTAATTGAGCAGTATGCACACTAAGAACCATATCTTGTCCTTGGATATGTTTCCTACCTCTTTCTTTCATTTCAGTCTCACAGATCAGTCAGACTGAGTGGATCCCTGCATCCCTTTTGCAGAGCTTTGCGTAAAGATGTGTACCACATTTTATTGTTTTAGTGAAATTGGACTGTGTGGTATGGGACACTGGAAACTGGTTAAAAAGTACTTCTTGCTGTTTTCCCTATCCTATCTCTTTTAATACCTTCAATGTATTTTGCTTTTCCTTTCTTGAGTCTCCCCCGGCCAGTTTGGACAATGTGCCCGGTCCTGTTGTGCATCAAGTTCTGCTATCCTTGTTCTGATTTTCTTTGACATACCTGTGTCAAAATATTTCAGTACTGTACTGAAATAAGCATTAACACTTCTAATTTGGCGCACACCATTCTTTGACTTCACCCCTCCTTGGATACGAGTGAGGTGCTCCACTGAATCTGAACAATTAACGTTTTAAGTAATAGCCTGTCAATGCGATGGGTGAGCAGCAAAACTGGACGAGTATGGATAGTCCTAATGTTATTTTCCCAGGAGCATTGTTTGCCAAGGACAACTGTGGTTTTAGATTTTTGGGGAGGAAAGGTATCCTTTCTTTTCCTCTTTCTCTTTCACCAGTTGAACCTCCAGTTGGGAGTGGGAAGTGGGCTAAGATTTCTGTAAGCCCTTATAGCCAGGCTGCTTTGCCAAAGAACCTTAGAGTAATCAGCCACGTTGGTGAGTGTGTGATTTCTGGTTCAAGACCTAAGGACTGAAACCAGCCTGGTGTTTGATACCTAAGCATTCAGAGATCCAGTAGGATTAACATCAAAAAGAATGCCAAGTGCCTTGAGACCGTTCTCTTAAGAACGAAAAATTCTGATGTGATTCTGACTTTGCTCCCTAGTTATTTCCATTCCCAGTTTATTCTTCTAATACCACAATGCCATGTGCGATGCTATGTTTGTAAATAACAGTCCTATAGCACAAGAGAGATTTCCACATGCTTCTTTAATGGATATGAGCTTTGGGCTCTGAAGAGGAAGGCACTTCACTGAGTTGGAAGGGTTGTGATCTGACTTCCTGTGAGCTGGGAAGGTTTAGACGTGAGGACTGATTTCAGGCAATAATACACGTGTGATCTTCCAATGATCCACTAGTTGATATCACACCAGGATGATTTTGGTGACTTTTCCCATCGGGCAAGTACTAAGCTGATTTGGGATCTGACTTTAACTGTCATACTTATTGCCATTCCCAGGCAAGGGACCCGAAACGCTTTATGCTGGGCAGAAACTCAATGACAACGAGTGGCACACTGTCCGAGTAGTTCGTCGAGGAAAGAGCCTCAAGCTAATGGTGGATGATGATGTTGCTGAGGGTGAGTGTAACGTAAGATTATCTCTGTCATTATCTTTGTCTCTCTGTTCCCAGTCTCTTCTCAGCCTGCACATTCATTCTGCCCGTTCTTGTGTATCTCCTTTTTTTCCTGTCACTTCTCATGCACATAGTTTTGCTATGTTAAAAATTAATGTCTGGTTCTGAGAAGCTAACTGTCTTCAGCCAATGGCAGAAATTTCTGACAACGCTAATAACCTGAAATATGAGATTATGGGACAGATAAGCTTGCTCATCCCTAAGAACACAGAGGTGCTGAGCATCACACTGTCTCAAGCTGGATTCTGGGACATGCTCTAAATGTGCCTTATTGCTGAGCTGCAAATGTGGGACTTTCCAGTGCTGTGGAATGAAAGCCAAAGCCCCCTAAATCCTTCCTCTGCACAACTTTTCCTCATCTTAAATCAGCATTTGATAGATATATTGGAGAATATAGATTTGTTTGCTGTGTGTGTGTTGTTCTTCCCTTTTTTTTTTTTTTTTTTTTATCTTCAAGTTCCTGTGCCTGTGGCTCAGAGCCATCCAGAAGGTAAGGCTAATAAAACAGTTTGCTCCCAACTCTTTGGGAGGTTAGGGAAGACCCTAACTCACTGGAGTGTATTATACCCTAACATATACAGTGTGTCAGTCTTATTTTTTTTCATGCGTTCTCTGACAGCTCTTTGAGCTCCTGCCTTTTTTTTTTCAGAGCCATCCAGAAGGTAAGGCTAATAAAACAGTTTGCTCCCAACTCTTTGGGAGGTTAGGGAAGACCCTAACTCACTGGAGTGTATTATACCCTAACATATACAGTGTGTCAGTCTTATTTTTTTTCATGCGTTCTTTGCCAGCCTTTTGGGCCCCTGCCTTTTTTTTTTTTTTTTTTTTTTGGCATAGAAATGTAGTTGAAAGAAGGTGAAAAAAGATCAATCACTAAGGAAAGCTGGTGTCTCCCAAGTTAGGAGATTTGCCTAAAAATGATCAAGGTACTTTATACTGATCTTTTTTAGTTACGAAACTTCAGAGATTATATTTTTAGTCCATTTCCCCATAGTTACGAGAGCCAAAAACTTATTTTTCTTTTTCTGAATGAAGGTCTAAAATTCTCACAGCTCTGTTTAACTGTAGGTACTAGATTTCTGAGGAAAAACACTAGCCATCTGAAGGTTGGTAGTAGAAACACAAAAACTGGTAACTGTGGAGGTAACACTAATGTGGGTATCTCCACTTAGTTGTGACCCGTGCTGTTTGGCTAAATGTCCTCTGTACTAGTTTCTGCTCGGAAGGCAACCAGAAAGAACAGTTGCCAAAGGATATAGGATTTTGGCACTGCTCATCTCTGCGAAAAGTTCCTTTCTGCTGCGTGAATGCAATTAATTGTAAATAATGTGATAGATGAATTTAATCAGGAAAGCCATGAGACAGGAGTTTCAAATAAGCCCGATCAAGTGAGTTTACAGGAGAAGTGACTTGATATATATTTGCTTCAGAATAAAAATATACGCTGTGTGTATAGGCTGAGAATTTGCGAGAGGTGTGCAGAGATGAGAAAGAATAATTCACCCTCTTGTTGGAATTGGCAGAGATTTGATCAATGGAGAAAAATGAAATTTTGTTTAAGAGGAATCTTTCTGAATTAATGAAACGTTGTGCTGGTAAACACATCATCATGTTTACTTCTGTGTCAAGGAAGAACAATTCTTCTGGATGTGATTTTTTTCACAAGGGCCGCGAGGTGGCACTCTCTGCATTACCAACTCAATCCCCTGAAAAGCCATCTGTTTTTAAAGTCTATTTTTCATGAAACTGAGTTTATAAATAATAATGATACAATTTTATACTAAAATAGGATGTGCATATGCACATGTATATGAATTACATAATTAAAGATGCATTACAGCTAAAAATATCTGTTAAAAGAATACCAACATGACAAAGTGAAAAGTCAGAAAAACCAGAGCTAAGATTTTCTGTGCTATCTGCATCCCACTTCCTGGAGCAGATGATATAGTCTTCAATGATGTGGTCACATAGATTTTTCCACAGGATTTGTACTGTCTTTAGGCATAGATTAGAAGTCTAAATTGGGTCCCCAGTAAAAATAAACAGCTTATTTGATAGCCTTATTCTTTCTCATTGCTTGTGTGGAACAGTGCACACCAACTAAATTTTGGTCTAAATATAGAAGTGTTAATTTTCTCCCTTTTTATGTGTGCGGTGCCACACTGATACATTTATGCAGAACTAAAGCTATAACTGGATTTATTCCTGTGTCTGTGTTATATGGAGTGAAGAGGTGTATTCTTCCCGTTTAACAGATTTGAAACCAAGATACCCAATTAAATTTGGAAGTATGTGGTACCAATTTGATATGACTTTCAGGCATTTGCGTATGCAAGTATTTAGCACATCTGCAAATTAGATCCCATTAACTCAAAGTGGGTACTTGGAGAATTAAGAGTGGACAAGTAATGACCACCTATAGAAAAATTCATCATGAAGTTGCTTGCTTGGCTTTCTACAGGAAGGCTAAGGCAGAAACAGAGAGTGTATCCAATTCCTGTGGGCAGCATTCTGCTGCTTAATCATGAAACCTCCTCCTAGGTCTCCTTCAGCCCAGACCTCAGTACATCAGTGGTAAATGAGACTGGCATTACAGGTAGCAGCCTGCTTCAGCCCACAGCCCTGACTCAGTCCCAGGTCATGATACATCTTCAGCTCAGAACGAGGCTTGAGTTCTGCAAAAAGAATAACATGGAAATACCTGCATGCAGGAGCTGAAGTTAAGATTATACTGGGTGGGGACATGGTCCCTGCATATGTAGAGAGGAGAATAAAGGAAGTGTAGTACAGGCCCACCACCTGGGGCTGGATTGTGTAAGGCCTAGTTTAGCAGAGACCCATATGGATGAAGATCCTTGGGTCTTTATAGTAAATCTGTGCTTGTGTAAGGCTGCTTTTGTTCAGGAGTAACCGCATCTTGGAGTATGTTGCTCACAACACCAGTATGCGGCTTGTTTATTGAATGCAAGTTGTTGGGTTTTTGTTTTTTAAGCTAATCAATGGGAAGGGGGCACAAATAAAGCAGCAATATTCCTCCCTCCAACATCTCACTACTTCCCAAATACTGCAACGGTGGCTGGAACCTTTTCTGCCTTGAGCTAACGAGTTGCTGATTGTGGTAGTGGTTACAATTCTCTGTACAGACAGAGTGGGGGAATGAGAGATGAACTTTACAGGTGGGGCTGACAGCTCCTGAAATTAGAAGATATTGGATTTCACTCCCATACTGGAGGCGGGGTGGGAGGAGGATGTGTGCTTTAGTAGGAAAGGACAGCTCTGATTACCATGTTTCTAGTCTTATATTCTCTTGCCCTTTTCAGCCTTGACTGACTCGCTCCTAGCTTCCTGTACTACCACCACCGTCATTGTTCTATTTTTCTTAAGCGAGTCCCATTTTTCTCAACTTTTACCTTTTCTAAAAGTTGAGGTTCACCTTTTCCAACCTCCCTCGCTCCATTTCTAATATCCCTTCACTTGGGTTCCCTCTCGCAGTATCCTGTAGCTTTCACAGGTCTGTGTTTTTTTCCCTCATACTCTGACAGCTCTTTGTATTTGTCTAAGAGCGGAAGCACTAAGGAGAAAACTCTCCTTGTTCTTGGTCCTTGGCATCTCTAGATTTTGTTTTTATAACCTTTTAAAATGAAGAAGCAGGATTCTAAAAATAGAGATTTTTTTTCAATAAGAAAATACAATTCTTTGGTTTAGAGAAAAAATCAGAAATTTTAATTTGACAGCACTAAAACTGTAACAACCTCTCCCAATAGTGGAAGTGAGATGGTTTGCCTAAACAAATTTTCCACAAAAGCTTCCATTTCCGGCATTTTTCAAACTAAAATGTTACTGCCTCTGCTAAAGATATATTTCAGTATTTTAAAACATTTTGATTAGTATTAATACTTGAATTTCTGAGCACGCAGAAATATGTGGCTCTTTTCAACTGCTTGTAATTTTATCCCTCTTTATTTACTTGGGTTGAAGCTTTCTGTGTCAATAGGCTTTGTATAATTATGTCTTTAAATTTAGAATCACTGATAAAATTGTGACTAAGTGAAAAAAGTTGTTTTGCGTTACTATTTTTATCTTCCGTTTTGGAATGAATGCTTGAAAATTTGCCCAGGATGTCTCTCTTGTAAGAACTGTACCTGTTTGCTATCTCTGCAAAAACCTGATACATTTGGAGAAAGTATAAACTGAACAATTGCATTTTGTTCATGATTATGACAAGCAAGCTAGATATTAATATTTCAGTGTTTGAAGAGGACCTAAGCAAGAAAGAAAGTCAACTCACTTGTCTCCAGGCCTGCGGCGGTATCTAGAGTCAGATTATCATCCAAATATCCTATGCATATTTCCAGCTTTTAGTTCTATCCCCCACAGAAAAAACGAAGAATGTGTGACTAGTACGCAGTGATGAAAACCCTATCTATCTATCTAGCTATCCACATATATATGTGCGCGCGCACACACATGTATGTGTATGTTTGTAGTTTGTATTTCTCTTTGTATGTATGTCTGGGAACTGTTCAGGTAGGAAATGCTAGGAGACTTCAGCAGATTGCTACAAAGATGAGAAACCTTCCAAGTCCTAGTTGATCTGACCTGGTAGAATTAAGGGGGAGTTCTTTGTCTGATCTCAGATACAGTTATGGGTGTGACCCTTGGTCTCCGAACAAAATGCACCTGCCAGATTTGAAAAATGTTCTCTTCCTTCTTTAAGAAGGCCACCCTCTCTCTCTGTCCTGCCTCCAGAGATGACTCGTTTTGCATTTCTAAAGGGATGGAGATAAGGGAGAATCACAGAATCATTTAGGTTGGAAGGGACCTCTGGAGATCATCTAGTCCAACCTCCCTGCTCAAGCAGGGTCACCTAGAGCAGGATCACATCCAGATGGGTTTGGAATATCTCCAGCGAAGGAGACTCCACTACCTCTCTGGGCAACCTGTTCCAATGCTCAGTCACCCTCACAGGGAAGAAGTTTTTTCTCAGGTTCAGATGGAACTTCCTGTGGTTCAGTTTGTGCCCATTGCCTCTTGTCCTGTTGCTGGGCACCACGGAGAAGAGGCTGGCCTCATCCTCTTGACACTCCCCCTTCAGATACTTGTACACGTTGATGAGATCCCCTCTCAATCTTCTCTTCTCCAGGCTGAACAGGCCCAGCTCTTGCAGTCTTTCTTCAGAGGAGAGGTGCTCCAGCCCTCTAATCCTCTTGGTAGCCCTCCGCTGGACTCTCTGCAGGAGTGCCATGTCTCTCTTGGACAGGGGAGCCCAGAACTGGACACAGGACTCCAGGGGAGGCCTCCCCAGGGCTGAGGAGAGGGGCAGGATCACCTCCCTCCACCTGCTGGCAGCACTCTGCCTAATGCACCCCAGGAGACCATTGGCCTTCTTGGCCACAAGGGCACACTGCTGGCTCATGTTTAACTTGTTGTCCACCAGCACTCCCAGGTCCTTCTCTGCAGAGCTACTTTCCAGCAGGTCAACCCCCAGCCTGTACTGGTGCATGGGGTTCTTCCTCCCCAGGTGCAGGACCTTGCACTTGCCTTTGTTGAACTTCATGAGGTTCCTCTCCGCCCACCTCTCCAGCCTGTCCAGGTCCCTCTGAATGGCAGCACAGTCTTCTGGTGTGTTAGCCTCTCCCGCCAGTTTAGTTTACTCTTAGAGAAGAGTAAGAAGTCACTTGTTTTCAGCCATCAGGTAGTCTGGATGGGACAGTTTGCCAGGTGCAATCTCAATGACTCAGAAACACCACCTGCAGTGACTAGTCAAGAATTATATATGTCCTAATAATTGACAGCCAGTCAGAGGCCATCAAGCAGGATGCTACTGACAAATTTTGTCTACGGTACACAGGAAACATTAATTTGGATCTCTATCCACCTATCAATTTTTCACAAAACTAGTATGAATTTGTATATTTTTGAGACTTCTTTCAAACTTGATTGAATTTGAATAGCAGGTTAAAAAGTTATTGGAGGAAGGGGAACCAACCGATGGTATGGCTCTCTGAACTTTCTTTCTTTTGGAAACCCTTCTAAGGGAAGGAAGCTACCAGTACAGTAATTATTTTGCAACGCATTAGAAGGTTATGCAGATAAGCAGGCAGAAGTAAGGAAATGTTGGAAGCAAATATGCCTGTGTGTGTATGTATTATGATGTTATCTAATTACACACTTGCTGTTGTGTTCCTTCCACAGGAGTTTTACTCTACCTTACTACATAGAAAAGAGAATGACTTGAGGTTGACATGAGAGTGTGTAGTTAGAGGTGGTTGCTGTTTTAAAGATGCCCTTTGAAAAGTCTATAGTAAGAGAGACAGCATGGCAAAAATAGGAAGGAAATCTGTGTAAGGCATCTGAATACTGCCCAGAAGAATTGGCTTCTCTGCCTTAGAGTTACTGTGGAAAGCTGGAAAAGGCATGTGAAGTCAGATTTTTCACAGATGACCACTAATTGTGCTTATCTTTTGGGAGATGTTCATTTGGGATTGTGAGTCTAATTTCTAGAAGAGGTGAGCCTCAAAACCAGTGAGAACTGTAAAGAGTTATGCATACTACTATGTTTGATGCCAAACAGTTCTTGTTTTAAGACCCAAAGCTATTTATGTGTTGATCCCTCAGTTCTCAGTTTTGTGTGTATAAAACTGAAAATAATACCCTTTAATCTTGCAAGAGTTTTAGAAGATGAAGTGAATATTTAAGGAGGAGTTGTACACTGTAGTGCTTAAGGCTGCAGAAAATCTCATGAGGAAATGGACTATATTTGTGGAACAGGGTTTTGAATAGTGGGCGACGTACGTTGAACAATGAGAAAATAATAAACATTTAATAATTACTCATGAACTAAATACCATTCCTGTTATATACTAAATAGCATGAGGATTGTGTGTAGAAAGGATAGGTTTTTTTTTTTTTGTGTGTGTGGCCGACTAGTTAAAAACTATCTTAGTGAAGAAGTACAGAGGACTGAAATAAGGTTGTTAGTGATGATTTTCATTGTGATGCTGCCCAGCTTGACTTTGTACTCAAACAAGACTTTTGCCATAATTTGCGTGTCATCTATTCATATGAGTTCTGTATCTGTATTGATGCCTAGCACACTTACAGAAAAACTTTAAATGTGCTTCAAGAGCAGTCTAGTGAGATACTTCGGTATACTGAGTAGTTGAAATAATTTAACTGAAGAGGTTAAAATCCATCACAGTGCCGCAAGTAGCCCTAGTGGCGAGTTGATGATTGAAGTATATGGAGGGCTTTTTACCTGTTGCATTCTTGTGTGTTTCTCTCCTGTCATTCTCCTGAGCAGAACCTTGAGGAAAAAAAAGCAGTGGAATAAATATTAACAGCTTTATAACAGTTCTCATTCTGCTCTTTTAATCTACTTTTATTAAGTGCATTCAGACAAGTAGCTTGTAAGAGTTGATTCAAAAGGGTCTAAACTGTTTGACAAATGGACTGTTGGACTGAATGGATCACTGTGGGCTTAAAGGGAGAGACCTAGTCTCCCTTCACAGACCCTACAGTTCTGAGCAGACTGGAGGATTTCACATGATAGTGAATCAAAAGACTGCCCTGAAAGTTAAATAAAGGCTTTGTTTCTGCTCCCTCATCAGTAATTCCCTTTTTTCTTTCCTCTTTCCTTTTCTTCAAGCAGAAAGTTCTTCCAGCATATCTAACTCCTCTGACCATGTAATACAAAATCTCAGGATGAGCTAGTTAAGTACATGCAGAGATATTTCTTGACATAAAGCTAAGCATGAATGATACTGTTCTCTGATATGTTATTTACTCTGAACCTACAGAGGGAGAAACAGGGAGCTTGCTCTCCACAACCCTTTAGTCCTATGTCTTCTCTCTTCTGCCAGGTTTTGGTTGAGCAGCGCTTAGATAGGATTAAGTTAGTACTGCTGTTAGTTTGGAAAAATGGAGGGTGAAAGGCTCCATAATCCATTACTGATCCCTGGTCTTTGTGCATGTCCCTCTTTGTTCCTATCTTTCAGGCACAATGGTTGGTGATCACACCCGCCTGGAGTTCCACAACATTGAGACGGGGATCATGACAGAGAAACGGTACATTTCCGTCATCCCCTCCAGCTTCATTGGCCACCTCCAGAGCCTTATGTTTAATGGGATGCTCTACATTGACCTGTGCAAGAATGGTGACATTGACTACTGTGAGCTGAAGGCACGCTTTGGTCTCCGCAACATTATAGCTGACCCTGTGACATTCAAGACCAAGAGCAGCTACCTGAGCTTGGCCACCTTGCAGGCTTATACGTCCATGCATCTCTTCTTTCAGTTCAAAACCACCTCAGCTGATGGTTTCATCCTCTTTAATAGTGGTGATGGCAATGACTTTATTGCAGTTGAACTAGTCAAGGGGTAAGTGAGCTTTCTGCTATATTCTGCCATGGGTCCATGTCATAGATAGGCTTAGCATGCTAAGCCTAAAGAGAAATTCATCTCATACTCATGCTTTCTTTAACCAAGTGGTTAGAGATAAACACTGAGGCTTAAGACTCCTGATTCTATTCCTGACTTCAGCCTATGACTTATGGAATGCCACTTTTTATAGCACAAAATATTACCATTTGAAGTCATTCAGATTTGATTAGGCTAACGTTTTGTCCTGTTAACCTTGAAGAGCAGCACAGAGGAAGGAATGCACTGAGTCTCCTTTCCTTTTTTTCTCCCAGTTACAGACTTACTATGTTTCAGCCACCTCCAGGGCTCCAAATATCTCTTCCCATCTCCCCTGTAACATACCTGTTATGTTTCAGCCACCTTCATTGACAAATAAGAAAAAGATAATGCAGGCTGCAGGGTTTGTGTTCCTGCTGGTGATGCTCAAGGGGGGAAAAACTCAGCTTGCTTCTGAGCCACTACATTCTTTCAGCGAGGCTGAAAGCTTAAAAATAACCATTGAGCATCCTTCGTTAGCTGAACAAATTTTGCTTTTGTAGTCATCTAGATGCAGTGAACATTAATTACACAAATGCACTTTACTTAGTTCTATTTTTTTCCATATAACTAAGGTTCAATCTGTTTAATTTTTAACTTTGCACATTTCTGTAAGTGAAACATTGAGTAATTAAAAAAAAAAAGTCATGAGCTTATGGCATTCTGTTGAGGGTTGAAAGTTGTTGTCTTTTTTTCCTCTCTAAAGGGAATATTTCTATTCTATCCTCACATGGATTTCTGTTTGAACTATATAAATAATTCAGGGTAACACTCGGTGACTTCAGTCTTTGTTAGGGTCTTTATATTTTGCCAAAAGCTTTGTTAATTGTTTTCCAGCTGTTTGAGTAAGCCCATGTGATCTCATGTGTATTTTAATACAATATTTTCAGCGAGTTTTCCAATTAAATTCTTAAGGGGGTTATTCAGAGCCTGGGGAATTTATGCCTCAAATAAGCATATCTAGTGTTGCTCTGCGCCACTTCTATTGATCTTACCAATTTTTAAATATACTTATATGCGAAGACAGAATTTCTTTGGGTCTGCAAGAACTTTATTTAAAAAAAAAATTACTAGAATGTGTTTACTCCAAATGTCTTTTTCTCAAAGTACTAATCTTTACACTTTCTTGATGGAAAGGAAGCACCTATATCCTTTAAAAATCGAGGCTCAAATCTTGATTTACTATAACTTTCTAATCCAGAGACGGTTCACTCCATGAATTGTGTATAGTAAATTTTTCAGCTGTAGTTAAAATAAGCGTTAGTAGTGCTGGAGTCCTTAACTGTTCTTATTATGTTTACAGGTATATACACTATGTGTTTGACCTTGGAAATGGACCTAATGTTATTAAAGGCAACAGCGATCGTCCTCTTAATGACAACCAGTGGCACAATGTTGTAATCACTAGAGATAATAGTAACACACATAGCCTGAAGGTGGACACCAAGGTGGTCACTCAGGTTATCAATGGTGCCAAAAATCTGGACCTTAAAGGTAAATTCTAAAAGAATGGCAGTGCCCCCCCCCTTTATTCTTGTGGGGGGAGAAAATAATCAGTAAGCTTGCAGAAACCGTGCGTTACAGAACAGAAGACGTGGAATTTAGTGGTTTCGATTTTAAATTTCATTTTCATCTTTCTCTGTTTGTCAGCTTTCATTAATGGAATAGTTTGTTGTATATTGCTTTTTCAGAAATTGTTTGTCATCCTACAGTTGTCCCCAGTTAAGATGCAATTACCAGTTTTATGATTCGGACAGATCTAGTAAAGTACAGCAGATCCTGAAGAAGTACAGCTGTGTATAGCATGTAGCTTGCAGTGAGGGATGATAGAGGATGAAATAAGATACATTCATGCCAGTGATGAGAAAGTTTTTAAAACTAATGGGAGCCAAGGGCTGTGGTAATGAGATGCCAGTGTCACTGTGAAAACACATCAGCAAAGTTCATGAGAATAAGCCATACCTGGGTCAGATGAAGATACACTGGTGGGCTATGTAAAGGAAATAAGTTAATAATAAACTACTGTTGCTACCTGCTGCTTTAGGTTAAGTTAAGATTCAGGTTTAGTAGGATGCAGTGTAAGAGCCCCAGGCAGGAAAGGCAGTGGGATCACCTCTATGCACGGTCAAGAGGCAGACCTGATTTCTGGTCTTAAGCAATATCCTGCTCTGTTTTTAACCTTTTCTGAGCAAGCTATTTAGCTCACCCTGTTTATGGAGGGGCAAGCCACATCAGAATATCTGTAACTTCCATCTACTTGTCCATTTACCCTTTTTCCTTTAGGTGACCTCTACATTGCTGGGCTAGCTCAAGGCATGTATAGCAACCTCCCGAAGCTAGTGGCCTCCCGCGATGGATTTCAGGGCTGCCTAGCGTCTGTCGACTTGAATGGGCGTCTGCCTGATCTAATCAATGATGCTCTACACCGTAGTGGGCAGATTGAGCGTGGATGTGAAGGTATACCTAATTTCAGAGTTATGTCCCTCTTAAGCAGTCTTCTCTTAGTTTGTTGCTGCCCCCTGTGCATCTACTTGCCCACTTTATTGCCCGTTTTATTAATTTGCTTTCACTGTGACATCCTTCACTGCAATTCACTTACGTCTCCCAAATGCTCAACTTGAGGATAGCTAGTTTCTGTGAGCAGTTCACCAGCTATTCTCTGTCTACTCCATCCCCTATGAAGTGGCACCTTCAGTGGTGGAAAGGATGGTACTGGGATGGACCACTCTTACTTTTCCTATGGCTGTTTATTAACATTAAAGGTATGTGGGGGGTGGTGTTGTTGTTTTTAATAGTATTTCAGAAGAGGTTCTGAGTCTTCAATTCACCAGTGCTTCAGAGAGCCCTTTCTTGGGGATTCACAGAAACAAGTGTTTTGAAGACCAAAGAGGCAGAGCGTAAGTGGAAAGTAGGAGGAGTTGAAGAGTAAAGATCAGACCATAAGAGGAGTTCCTTTTTGAGGAAGTGGGCCTCCAGTGAAAGCTCTGGATACTATTCCACAGAGTTGTCTGCTGTCTGGAAAACCTTTCTGTTTGATAGTTTCTCTTTTCCAGGTGGTATAGAAAGAAACGTGCTGAAGGTGGCTTTTTGAAGCATGCAAATAGCAGTGATTTCTTGAAGCTTTTTAAAATAACTTATCGTTCTTGCTAAGCTCCCGTTAATCAAAACACTATTGACGTCAGCAGTACTAACTCAGTAACGTTCATATGGCATGAGTTCCTGTAGAACCTGAGATACTTCCCCTCAAAAAACCAAGGTTCTGCTGGTTGGGTTCTGCTGTGCTGGTTGCACAGTGGTAGGCTGCTCTTTTCTCTGCCCTTCTGCTGAGTTTAATAGTGTCTGTTAACCAAGCTGTTTCTTGTGGAAGTGAGCATGGCGTAACAGAACCTGTGGCTTTGCCCGTTTAGAACAGAGCCAAAATGCCAAAGGATGAAATGCACCTTACCTTGTCTAAAATGTTGTTTACAAGGCTTAAAGAGAAAAAATGATGCTGTCTTTGAAAATGTCCTTTCTGATTACTCTCAGTGCAGAGAAAGCTGTTCCTAATATTACTCTGATTTTTAAATAGAAGAATTATCAGAAATCATTAATCTGTTGGTTGTATACTCTGCATATTATCTCTCCTAGCTTAGCTCTCCTCCTTCAGAGGGTTTTTCATTAGACTGACCTGTTCTGTGTGGCTCAACAGGAGTTATAGGAGCTATTCTTTCTGCCCGAGGAGCAGTCACACTGCTTTCCCAGATGAGTTTGCCCTATCGAGTTTCCCCTTCTCCTTGTACCCAATGCACTCTGCTTTATGTGACATCAGTAATAGGACACTAATGTCAGCCATGGTTTTAGTTCTTGTACTTTCTCGTTCTTTATCCCTGCTCCTACAGAACTGATGCTCGAGTCTGAGCTGCTCCCAAAACATGCAGTGTAGCGTTTGTTTTGCCTGTGTGCCAATCTGGAACCAGCCAGAACGTGGAGATTGTTTCACCTTTAGAACTGTCAGGAATGTGAATCTCCTTCTTGTTGCTGAGTTTAATAGTGTCTGTTAACCAAGCTGTTTCTTGTGGAAGTGAGCATGGCGTAACAGAACCTGTGGCTTTGCCCGTTTAAAACAGAGCCAAAATGCCAAAGGATGAAGCAGAGCTGAAGAGACCTAGAAGCCTATAGGCAGGTGGGAAGGTGCCCTCATCCTTCCTTTGCAGAAACTTGATCTTTCAAGGTAATGCCCATGCTGTCTTCCTGGATAATCCATGCTCAGTGCCAATAGAAAATGCTAAAAAGAATGCCATTCTCTTTGCCAGCATGTTTAGAATTAGAGAAAACCAGGAAATAAGTCACCAAAAAGCTGCTCTATTTGGGTTTTTTGAGTTGCAGCAATCACTATGGCTTCATCTCTTGACTACTACCTGCTGGTTCCTTTTCTAATAATTGCCACTGAGTAACAGTCACACCTATTTACTCTTTCCCTAAGGGAATAGAAGGCCTTAAAGTATAGCTTTGGTCCTTCCTGAGGCCTCCCTAGCTTTGGTCCTTCCTGAGGCCTCCCTAGCTTTGGTCCTTCCTGAGGCCTCCCTAGCTTTGGTCCTTCCTGAGGCCTCCCTGTTTGTCTGTTTGGAGTCATCTTGGGTGCAGTCTTAACAGCATCCTGAAAGGCTGAGGTCCCAAGCAGTTCCTGCTGTCTCATGATGATTAAATGTGTTTGGAATAAATAACTGCAGGGTCTGGGGTGAATCTCTTCCTGCTGTGTTGATTTGCAGGATATGTCTTTATTTTATCATGAAGGGCAGTGGGAATGCATCTGTGATGAACATGCTTGCTTAAGGGGATTTCATTCCATCCACACATATGAATCTTACCTTGTAAATGCAGTATGAGAAAGATTTCTGCGAATGTTTGTCTTTGTTGCAGCTTTACTTTCAGAAGCAGAGGAGTTTATAAGGTGGCAGCCATCTTCTCTGAAACTGGCTTGATCTCAGGGCAGAATCAAAGGATGTGGGAAGGACAGAAGCCTAGGGAAAAGTACTAACTGAGCTGTAGGTCAGGAGACAGCACTGTCCCACCTAAGAAAGGCCAGTACCACTACAAATAGGTGACATTATCCTGTTTGCGTTTTTATCTCTATTCACGTATTGGATTGCCTATTCCATCTCGCCAATCATTCAATTTCTACAAGTTCTTGTACGACGCTAACACTATTTACTGTCTTGGTTCTGTTGTCACCTTCTTTTATTTGTTTTTTGAACAAGCCATTGAATTTCCTTGGCCGCATTGTTCCTCTTTTCTTTATATGCTGGAGTGTAATTCAACCTTGCTGTGCAACAGCACAAACCTGCTGCATTCTGGAACTGGCTGCCTTCCAGTGAAGGGTAAGGCATAGCTCCTATTTGAGAAGGAGCATGAGGCGCTTTCAAGATAAATCATATTTATATGAGAGGAATGAGTTGTTTCTTTAGGACCTGGAAAATCCCAAAGCATTCTCTGGCCCTATACGGGAGTCATTAACTGAAATGCAGGGACCCTTCAGACTAAAAGTGGAAGATGTTTAATAATGTGACAGTAGTGCTAAAAAGACGGTTCACGACCTAAGGCAAGAATTATTCTGTATCTGATTGTCTACCACTTTTTTTAATACAGTTTCAATAAGAAATTACCTATGGTGGGATTTGTTTAGGATAGCACAGCTAACGACCTCTGCCCTGTCCACACAGGATATGGGTTTGTTACAGCGTCAGCTTCCTTTTGCGTTATTCAGCTCTCTTCTATGCTGCACAAATGTAAGCTTTCAGCTCTTGAAGACTGCTGCGCTCTCTCCAACATGTTGGACAACTTGGTAGATGCTGCATTGACATGATTTCACGGCTGATATTCTGAAAGAAAGCCAAGTGTACCTGAAATGTCAAGTGAACCCATGGAGCTAAAGTCACTTTTTTGTCTTCTGTTTTGTCTTTACTGCCCTTTTGCAATTGCTGCATTTCTGATTGTACAGGAGCAACAGGCAGTTCTTCATTGCTCTTGTGTAGTTTTGGTCAGATCTGTGGTGGTGTCTTGTGTTTCCCTGGAAGATGTTTAGCACAGCCAGAAACCTTCTTGCTTCCTGTTGTATAAAATCTATTCTGGGTTGATGTGCAACACAACTATCAGGAGAATTAGGTTTCAAGAGAATGATGTTATACCACTATATTCATTTTACACAGAGTATCTCTAGCACTCATGCTAATTACAACTTCCATCTTCATCTTTTTTGCAACAAAAGTGCCCTTCCCCCTGCCATCCTCCAAAAAAAGGGTGGGGGGAAGGGCCTGACAAAAAAGGTGCAAAGGTAGGGTAATGGTTAAGAGTGAAACGGTCCTGGCTTCAGAGTGGTTTGGCCTAGAGCAGCAATTCAGGCTACAGTACTCTGAAGAGTCATTTCTCAGGAAGGATGAGCAAATAGTCTGACTTCAAGCTGGGGGCCCGCTTTTACTAGAAGCTTGCAGGCAAGTCTTCTACCCTCTTCAGGCCTTGCTCTCACCATCCATAAAATAGGCATGGTATCTATCTATTCATAATGAGAATAGAGAACAAAACTAGGTCTTGTAAAGCACTTTGAAGTAGTGGGTGGAGGCCTCTGGAGATAAGCAAAGCATTAGAATTTGAGTGGGGAGGGGGAGGTCCTCTGTCATCACCTGGTTCTCTCCAGTCTTCAACTCCACAGGCTGTGGCTGAGAATATTTATACCACTCCTGATTTTGAGCAATACAGGCTATTTCCATTTCTGTCAGGCATGTGCCTATAGATGATGCTAGAGAACTCAATGGAAAAAACTTCTGTACTGTAGAGTGCATGCAGGAGGTGGAAGCTGGAAGTTATTCCAGGTGACCCCCTTTCCCTCTTTGAAGGTAAACCAATTTAAACTTCAGCTCAGCTCCCCCTTGATTCTTGACTCTCAAAATTGATTTCTTTTGTGGAGCACTTTATTCCAGGTCTTACTCTTTTAAAAGCATGGATGAATTTATTCCATCCCCTAAAGGTGAGACTTGGTGGTTCTCTGGTTTTATCTCATCCTGGAAGAAGTAAAGTGATGGCTTGAAAACGCTCCAAAAGACTGGACTGTGCCCTACTGACTGAGTAATTTCTTCATTCTGGGGTGATTTTTTTCCTCCTCTCTACAAATTTGCTGTATGTTCTGCTTTTTCGCTTCGCTTACTGGGGCATCCTTATTTTGCTAACTACATGTACTAGAGCTATGTGAAATTCAGCTGCACCTTCTAAATACTTGTATTTCCCCAGCACCAAGCCGAGCAAACTTGACAGCAATGGATAAAGAACACTTTCTGTCTTCTAAAAGGCAGTTTTCTGTATGCCTTAGGGAGATGTGGCTTCTTCCTCTCCTCTTCACCTTTCTTCACCTGTTCTACTGATAACAGCTTCTCACAAACGAGTGATTATTATTTAACTGGCTAACTTTATTCCAGCTGTTTGGGGGC